AAAAAAAAAAAAAAAAAAAAGGAAGTAGTCCTCTTTATTTTTTTAATTTTTATTGATTTTATCTGTTGATTAGGGACGGAGGAAAGTATTGTTGGGTTGGTTTCCTACCTGCGTTTTCCCTCCCACCCAACCCTTTGCATGCATTTCCGGGTTGGTACATGACACGTCAGCAACAGTGACACGTCAGCAGGCCACGTCAACAGTGACACGTCAGCTACAGTGACACGTCAGCAGTGCCACGTCAGCTACAGTGACACGTCAGCAGGCCACGACAACAGTGACACGTCAGCTACAATGACACGTCAGACACAGTGACACATCAGCAGACAACGTCAACAGTGACACGTCAGCTACAGTGCCGCGTCAGCAGTGCCACGACAGACACAGTGCCACGTAAGCAGTGCCACGTCAGCAGTGCCACATCAGACAGTGCCACGTCAGACACAGTGCCACGTCAGACACAGTGCCACGTCAGCAGTGCCACGTCAGCAACATGACGGGCCTGCCAGGCCAACTGGCCAATGAGCCCATTGCCGACTACAAAAAGCGATTCCAGGCTCAGCTCGCTGTCATCGAGGCTGAGGAACAATGCCAGCTGGCAGCCAAGGCTGCCCAGCTACAGGCTGAAGAAGCGGCAACAGCAGAGAAGCTGCGGCTACAGGCCGAAGCAGACGCAGATGCCCAGGCTCGCCACAAGGAAGCCCAGGATCTGCTGCAGCGGCATGAAGCCACAAGCATCGAAAGACTCAAGTTCTGGCACTTTGAACCAAATGGCGACGACGGAACACTGGAAGAGCAGCATAAGGAGTTCCTCTCCAAACTCGTGACACGGTTGTTGTATGCTTGCAACTACCAACGGTCCGAGTTGGAGAGACAGAACCAGGAACTGCAGCAACAGTACCAGGATCTGAAGACGCAGCACCACGAGTTGGCGAACCTCCGCCGGATGGTGCAGAGCCACGAGGATGCAACACGGGCACTCAATTCCCGTGTACTGGACCTGGAACAGGCTGTACCAGGACCAGATGATGGGGCTTCCAGCAGTGCACCCTCTAGCCGCCAACCGGAGGAACGCGTTGACCACGTAGTGGCAATGCTGGGCGACATCAGCACCTTCGCAGCGCCGACCACCATCAGCAGCCAGCTAGACACGCTGAAGACCGAGGTCCAACAACTGCAGTCGACGAACTCGGATGGCAATCCTAAGCAATACAAGATGCCAACTTTTCAACTGGAGAAGTTCGACGACTACACGCATCAGGATCTGGTCCTGTGGTGGGAAGCTTTCACGACGCAACTGCGGATTCTGCCTGTCGCCAAGCACGCGTACATCAGCGCCCTGTTCATGAACTCAAAGGGCGGATGCCAGATCTGGTTGACTCACCTCGCAGCCACCCACAGCGTCGACGTCGCCGATCTGAAGGACAAGATCACATGGGAAGAGTTAACACGACTGTGGAAGAAGCGGTTGATCGTCGACGACGCACCAGCACTAGCCATCAACCGTCTCTTCGCCATGTCTCAGGGCAACACAGCAACACGTGACTGGCTCACGGAATGGCAGAAGATCGCGGCAGTGCCCGATCTGGACTTACCATTCATGCATCTACGCCGTGAGTTCTATAACAGGTCATGCGCTGCGCTGAGCCAGGCACTTGGTGATCGCGAGCAATACACCACCTTCGCTGAGATCATTGATAAGGCAAGGGAGATCATCAAGACCAACAGGGCGGCTGCACACGAGAAGTCCACGTGGCAGCCAACCTATGTGGAGAAGGTAAGAACTGGTCCGCGACAGCAGCAGTTTGCTGCAGTCCAATCGGACAGTGGAGAAGACCCAGCAGCCACTCCAGCGTCACGTGAGGGAGATCAGGTGGCTGCTATCCAGCCTCGAAGCAACAAGCCCCGAGTGAACGGGAAGGCGAAACCAGCATCGCAGGCCGGAAACGAACAGCCAGCACCACCATGGGTCAAGTTCGGCTTGACCGAGGCCGAGTACAAGTACCGCAACCATTACGGCTGCTGTTACTGGTGCAGCAGCACCAAGCACAAGACCTCCATTTGCAGATTCGGCCGCCTTGCTAGCGGCCTCCTACACATCTGGGGAGGATGCGCATGTCGCAAGTCCTCGGTACACTTACGAGTATTATGCTGTCCACTTGGTCCCACCGCTGGACCAACCGCTAGACCAACCGCTCCACGTGCAACACTCTACCGCATGCACGGTTTCATCACCATCGGCAACCGATTCGGCAGCTTCGTCGTCATCTACCGCCGGGGATTCAACGTCATGGTCAAGACTTGAAGAGCTCGACCCGTTGACTTTTGAGGACTTCCAATGGATGCCCCTGCCCCAGTCTGGTCGATTGCCGAAACCGCATTGCAACGTGCTCAAAGCACAATTGCGGGATTACTTGCACACTGCAGTATCGACTCCGTTGATGGACGTCGGAGTAGAGGTTGTCGACCTTCACGCCTACATTGCGAAGATCGACCGCGAGTTCAAGACACAACGGTACGGCGACATCAACGCACCATTGCTATATGTATGCATTCAGATCGGAGAGGCGACCTGCAACGCTTTGATTGATTGCGGAGCATCTCACAACTACATGAGTCAGGACTTCATGGTACGCGCCGGCCTTGGCCCACGAGTCCGAAGGAAGTCCCAGCCCACGCAAGTCACATTGGCGGATGGTCACACGCACAAGTCAACCGACCGGTGCATTGACGACGTCCCAATGTACTTTGCCCCTCACGCAAGTGAGGCGGTGTCCTTTGACATTCTGGACACCAAATTTGACATGATCTTGGGCATGTCATGGCTGCGAAGCGAGGACCACCCAGTGAACTTCTACTGCCGCACCATTCACATTCGTGATCGGAACGGAGTACTAGTCCCATGCACGGTAGCTCCTCCTCACCCTGCAGTCAGCTGTCACGTGGTATCCGCCGCAAGCATGCGAGCTTCCATCATCAGAGACGACATCGAGGAGATGGGGGTGTGTTTTCTCCACGCCCTCCCACCCCAAGACGCGTCATCGACGGACTCATCTTCGGATCCACGCATCACCGAACTTCTCGACGCCTACAGCGACGTGTTCGAAGGCCCGCACGGAGTAGTACCAGATCGACCCATCCGCCACGAGATCATC